AAACTTTCTATCGAAGGCAAATGGTTTACAAACTACTAATCAAAGTCAATTAATGCAAGTTTCACAAGAAACTGATGTCGTAATTAGTGGTTCTTATATTGTGACGATTTGTGTGGATGGTTACAAAAATATGGGTGGGAATTTAAATATAACATGTTCTGCAACTGGTTCATGGAGTCTTTTTCCTAAATGTGTTATGAATGATGGCAATAGTGGTTCTCCGACTGGTCCTGCAGTACCTCCAGGTATGGCTTGCGTAGTTGATGCAACATTGAATCCTACTCCTAGAAAATCATTTCTTAAGGGTCTGCATCACAAAAAATAAATACAAATGTTACATACTTGTTGGATTTACATTGAGAATAGACAAAGAGTCTTCTAATTTAGAAGTCTCATCATAGTTCTGCTTCATTTGAAATATTTTACTTCAAGAATGAATGAAATGTAATTGATATTATTTAATTTAAACTATTCCAAACTATGTTACGTCTTCTTACAATAGTCAGTAGGATGACAATAGACATACTTATCTTTGATTATTATTAAAATGCTTATCCTATAGTGTGTAGTTAAACTTTCGATGCATACAATATTTAATATTCATTTTATATTTTTATGCTTATTTTTTTTGTACAGGAACTAGTCGATGTTCATTTTCTGAATTGACAAACTTTCTATCGAAGGCAAATGGTTTACAAACTACTAATCAAAGTCAATTAATGCAAGTTTCACAAGAAACTGATGTCGTAATTAGTGGTTCTTATATTGTGACGATTTGTATCGATGATTATAGAAATATGGGTGGTAATTTAAATATAACATGTTCTGCAAGTGGTTCATGGAGTCCTTTTCCTAATTGTGTCTTAAGTGCAGCGACAACAATTTCTTCTTCGAATAGTGGATCTCCGTGTAATTACAATTCGAGTCTATTGACTATACCAAATGGTGTTGCAAGTTCTTCGAATGGTCTTATGTCGCCGACTACTAGTCAAGCTGTATCTGGAGCATATATTAGTTATATGTGTACGCCATCATATAAACTTGTAGGTAATTCGATGATAACATGTACAAATGGAGTTTGGTCACCACAACCTGCTTGTGTCGGTAATTTATGAAAGGAAAAATAATAATATCAAATTCGATTTGTTTTATCATTCGGATGTTTTAGCGTCTAGTTCAGGCAGTCAAACGTCTGTAAAACCATCAGCAAAATGTACCGAGATCCCATTTGTTGGTAATAGTGATATATTATCGGCAACACCTATTCAAATTTCTAATAATATATCTCGAAGAAAAGTTGAGTTCAAATGTAAGCGTGGATATACATATGCAAGTACATCAGGTCAACTTGTAGTATGGTGTACGAATGGTGTGTGGGATCGACTTCCTGTTTGTGCACGTATGTCATCCATGTTTTGAGTCAATTTCGAACTTATAAGGATGAACTTTGTTTTTCAGCGAGTCCTGCTTGTTCAATCAATCAATTACAATCAGCACTTATTAATGTAGTACCAGTATCAAATTCACTTAAGGTCGGTAATGGTGGTATTCTTGCTGATGGTTGGATTCAACTTCGATGTGCACATGGTTATGCTCTTAGATCATTACCTAGTTCTCTGAATATTACATGTCTTTCGACAGGAGCATGGTCACAATTTCCTGTTTGTCTTAAATAAACTTCACCTTTTATCTTTATTTTTCTTGACGCATTGGTATTAATGATTCCTACTATTTTTCTCATATATATGCGCTTATGTATATTATTACTTATTTTTTCTTTCTTTTCTTTTCCTTTATCTGAGTTATTATTTGCTTGTAACAATATGGTTTTTCTGTCCTGTTGATCATTTTTATTTAAACATAATCTATTGTTATTTGATGAAAATTATAATTGATCTATTAAATCTAGGTTGTGGGAAAATTTAAGATAAACAATTTGAAAATTGTATCTTTTGATTTATAATAGAAATGTGCAGGAGTATCCTACCCTACAGGGTGGAGTACAGTAAGAATTAGCAAATTTTTTCTCAGTCAGAGTAGAGACTGTGAAAAAAACACATCTCTAAATTTATAAAACAATAATGACTTCGGTGTAGTTTCATTTAAAATAGCAAAGCAAGTTAACAATCCATTGAAATATTCACAAAATTTTTATTTATTATATTAAAAAAATAAAGAAAATATAAAAAGAATTCTCTTTATCTGAAGGATACTGTCCCTCCTTTTTTTGACCTTTTCTGATTCTCGATAACCGTACAACTTATCAAGATGAAACTTTTACACTAACAGGACATAAGGAGACACATACAACGTCCATCAAACTTTATCTGATTGGGCTGAAAATACTGTGAAGAGATTTAAGATTATATCTGAGAGGTAATTTTAAGGCCACTTTCCTTCTCTTTTATGGGAGAAATGCCTAAAAGTGTGAAGCCAAAGCCGAGGTTCTGGCTTTCAGGATTCTGTCAATCCGGTTAGGAAAATGAGAAACAAAAACGATGTATTACGGTCAAAAAAAAAGAGTGGAAGGGAGAGTATCATTAATTTTGGAAAAAAAAATAATAATATAAACTGTCTTTAATTTTTTTAAGGATGGATATTTTAATTAATTCATATATATTTAAATATTATCTA